ATAAGAAGCAATCTAATATCAAGTTTTAACTACACTTGGCCAGATCCTCAGCTGGTATAACTTATATAATTCCATTGAAGTCAATGGATTTAAACTGATTTACACAAGCAGTAGTATGGGCTATTAATTTGGTTGATTAATTCTGTTGATAAACATTTATTTTTATTTCTATCTTCTTATAATGGTAACTAACACTAAACAAAGATTTTTTCATGGCTCATAGGGACTTTTCTCTTCTTGTAGAGAGATTTTTTTAAACAGTGAGTGTTAGATCTTGGTCGTTTCTATGACTTTTTGTAAAAATTAATATAGCATTATGAAAATAAAGATTTCTGAGCTTTATTTCACAGTTTTATTTGAACATACAGTTTCTTATGTATTCAATTTCTGGGAGGAATTTACCACACCCCATGGTAAATTTGTTACACTGATGCCCCTGGGCTGTGCTCCGCCTGCCTCCACTGGGCTGCAAGCCTGTGGGAACCCATCCTGCCTCCACCAGCCTAGGTTTCCAGCGGCTTGCTGCCCAGTGGAGACTAGTGGAGTGCAGCCCAGGGGATGAACTCCACTCACTTCCACTGGGCTGGGTTTCCAGTGCCTTGGAGTCCAGCAGAGGTGGGTGGAGTTCAGCCCGGGGGCTGCACTCTGCCTGCCTCTACTGAGCTGGGTTTCCAGGGGCTTGGAGCCTGGTGGAGGTGGGTGGGGCGCAGCCCAGGGGCTGCTCTCCATCCACCTCCACTGGGTTGGTTTCCCACCAGCTTGCAATCCAGTGGAGGGAGAAGAAGTGCAGCCCTGGGGCTGCGCTCCACCTCCCTCCATTGGGTTCAGCACCTAGCAGTTTGCAGCTCTGTGGAACTCAACCCGGTGGCAGGAGGTGGAGTGCAGCCCCAGCTCCGCCTGCCTCCCTCCCACCATGGGGCTGGTGGAGCGGATCAGAGTGCAGCCCAGCGACAGGAGGAAGGCAGAGCTGGCGCTGTTCTCTGATCAGCTCCACCAGCCTCAGGGAGTACAGCCCAGCATCAGGAGGTGGGGAGAGCCAAAGCTGCACTCCCCACCAAGCTGAGCTACATGGGGCTGCGCAGAGGCACTTGGAGCATAGCCCTGGCTCTCACTGCCTCCCACCACCTGGCTGCTGCTGCAAAACTCAAAACATTTCTAAACTTTCAAAACATTTTGGCTGGCCTCGTTTTGTTTTGAGGCTGATTTGAAGCCCTCTGTTTCATTTTGATTTCACTGTTTCAAGCTCAAGACAAGTCGAAACAGCATCAAAATGAAACAACTGGTGAAATTTCACACAGCCCTAAAGGGAACCCACTTTACAATGTAGCAAATAAGGATACTTTCCAAGATCTCAACTGCATTGACCCCCAAACCCATTTCTACCACTTTTACAAGACAATTTTGGTACTTACCAACAGCAGACAGTACACACAAGCATGGGGTTATGGTGAATGTTTAGTTGGTGTAAAGAGGGTGGTGAAGAGTCTTCAGTGTCAGACTCCACATCACTGGTAGGAGGTACAGACAGGGTAACATCCATAGGAGAATCAACCGGCATGGGGCTCTCATTACCCTCCAACACCAGTGGGGTAGGGCTGGAGGTAGCTGGGTGAGGCTTCAAGAACTGGAACATGGTGCACTGCCTCTCTGATTGTTGCGTCTGGGCATATACCTTTTGTGCTTCATTGATGGACCAGGGAGAGGGGTAGGAAATAAGCTAGCAGGGTGCTTAGAAGCCATAATAAGGATGGCAACTACAGAAATATGTGTCACAGACAACGAGTGAGGAGCACAGATCCACACAGCAAACTATATTTTGGTGCGTGTCACTCCCACAATGCACTGCACAAAGCAGCTGACTGCAGGCTTCCACCAAACCAATCTCATAAGAGTGAATTTACCTCACATATAATGATTTTTTTGGTTTAAAAAGGGTCATTGCATAAGAGTGAATTTGCACATACATAACCCACATACAGCGAGGGAAACCTGTATTAAATCTGAATGGCTAATTAAATCAAATCTAAGTCTCTGTCATGCAGACAAGGTAGATGTATTCTAGGCAAACATTAGCAAAAATGCCTCAAGACCATGTCAGATGTCTTGATCCTTAGTGGATAGACCTGCAAAATCACTGTTTAATTATGAATCATTCCTTATATATGAAAGAACCTGGCAGGAAATCCTCCATTTCTGTGGTAGTAGAAGGAATTTAAAATCTTGTCTGACTGAAGAAAGCCAGAGTTCACTGAATGTGTCTTTTTTATCTCTTGACATCACATTACAAAAGCAGTGCCCTTTGCCTATCTTCAGAAAGTTTTTTTAAAGGTAAAATGGCTCTAGTCCTTTAGTAGAATGTATGGCATAGACAGCTGTGCTGTGAGTGCAAAATCCACTCAGAACATCTTCAAAACCCCTAAAGCAGTTTAATCAAATGAGTTTATCAACATCAGTGAAGTCATTCTGTCTGTTTAGATGGGCCTGTAGCCAGACAAAAATGAGCCTGTAGAATCTTGTCATTTGGAGGCTTTTACCTCTCTCGTTGTATTTGACATCATTTGTAATCAGATGTAACATGACAGCAACAGCTTGACAAACTGGATAATACACTTCACTTGCAAAAATCATGCACAAGGACTGCAAACACATTTTTATTTAAGCCATATCATGTTTATGTATAATGGGGGGGCGGTTGCCACAGATCTTCCATAGAAAGTCTAAATAAATCTTACATTTTTTATCCTTTAATGTCCTGCTCTTGGTATTGTTATCAACTACACAGAAAAAGTTAAGTTTCTCCAGTCATACTAATTTATTTGGACGGCCATTTGGATATACACAAGCTAAAAAAATTATCTATTATTTTTACTTCTGCTCCCTGAAGCGCATGTGCCCCATTTTCTAGCTAGTGTGTTTCATAACCTCTTATTATTTACCATATTGGTTGTGAGAGGAGGGGAAAGAGAGAAAGTCTAGTTCTCTCAAAGCTGAAGGACTTGGATACATTCCCAAACATGTCAATCCTGAGAGTGACACTCATCCTGTGTTCAATTAACACCTATTCTGTGGCTCCACAGAAACTTTTGAGGATACCAGATATGACTTTTGACAAGCTCGGAAGGAGCAAAACATTTATCAATGGATGGCTTCCTATATTACCTAACACCCAAGCCTAATATATTACTGCATAAAAGTGATATTCAGGATCTCTCATTATCCTGTCTTCTGCCAGGAGAGATAGAAAAGGAAGAAATAGGAGGAATGCCTTTTTGTCCCTTTCATGTTAGGACAAACAATCTTTGGACTGAACCAAACTTTGCTTTGGTATATATTTGCAAGATCTTTGAAATGATATTAGAGACATAAACAAGACATGTTTTCTAAGGTTTATGCAGTGTTACAAAGAAAATTGAGCAATGCAATGGCAGAAGGATATATTGGCTAGGTACAGACATTCAGAGTGCTTGAGGCAGAATTGATCTAAGTGACGTGGTTTTCTAAGTGGCATAGTTGAGATTGGTAATGAACAGAACACAAATTTACCCTTTGGTGGGAGGGGACAAATCTTAGACCAGGTTACACCATTTTAAACCAGTCTGTGTGTGCCAAACTTCTGTTCTGAGTATAGACCGATTTCTCTCTAAAAGTGTAATGTCTGTACCTGGCCATTATGATTATTTTATGACCCGCTGAATTCATTAACTGATGATTTTGTTCTTCAAGTCTCTATGATGAGCAGTTCAGTCTGATTTTCTTTTTCATTTTCAGTCTATCCTTACCTAGCAATTTCTGCTTAGGATAATCTAATTAAAAATAAAATTAAAAAAAGGGTCTCAGGCCCGCTTGCAAATCTTCTCCTGGGAGAGAACTTGTGCCCATAGGAGTAGCTTGTACTGCTTTTACTTTAACACTTCAGGAAACCCTCTTTGGAGGTCTCAGCTTCAGAGTTGGTAGTTGTAGGCCAGGAATGAGGAAATGAACTAGATTATCCTTGCTCTAAATACCTTAAGGAAAGCAGAATAAATTAATATAATTTTTGTTCTACTTTTCTACTTCATTTTGAGGAATCAGATTATGAAACTACTAAACTTAACCTAGACCCTAAGACCTTTGTTTCCAGAGGCAGAAAATAACCATGTGGGTCAGAACAATATGTCAGCATCCTTTTCCTCCTGTAGCTCCCTCAAGATCCATGTGATATCAGTGGATCATGGATGTTTTCTTCTTTATGAGTAAATTCTGAACTCGTTCTCTTCCCTAACAGGAATTCAACAAAACCTGAGTTTTGTAAGTAAAGTAAATTTCTTTTCCTCTCTCTGGTGTGGGGGTTTCCACCCCCACCACCCATATACAGAAGAATGAACATGTGTGTAAGGCTTTATGGACTTGGCCTAGACAATGATTCACTAGAATGCCCTATATACAGTTTGCCACTGTAAATGAAAAATATCAGTTTACACAAACCCTATGTATAAGGATCTGCCCAAAACCCTGTGGGATCTGCCCAATTTTCTTAATTAAACAACTTGGTATTAAGCTTATTATTAATACTACTAGCATTGATATTTTTTTCTTCAGTGCTCTGTTAGCCTATCTATATTCCTTGCTACACAGAAAGGTTTAAAAGAGAGACAGCATAGCCTATTCTGTTCAATCTCCACACAATAGTCATCACTATGGTATCAGTGAACCTTAGCCATTTGTTCATCTGATGCAACATATTGCTTTTCTTTTTGGACATATTTTATCTTTTCCTTTTGTAAGAAAAGATTTTAGCAGCCATTTTATTATCTCTGTCCCTTGAAACTTATATCCATAAAAACTACATTTGCTGAACTCAGAAACTAAGTAGCAGTTTATTAAACAAGGTATGCTAAAAAGCAGTAACTAAAGGGAATCAAAATAATACATTCACTTTTCTTATTGAACAT